GATGTAGCGATAGAATCTATCCAAAATGAAACAGAAAAGAGAAAATGACAGGAAATGAAAGTGAACAGACCCTCATTGATCTATGTTACAATATCAAGTATTCTAAATATGTGTAATTGGAGTTCCCTGAGTAGAAGAGACAAGAAAAATAGAGAAAGATATTTGCAGAGATGGCCCCAAATTTCCAAATTTGATAAAAACAAAATCTGCAATCCAAGAAGTTTAAGAAACTCCAAGGACACACACACACACACACACACACACACACACACACACACACACACACCAAAGCTTATCATAATCAAATTGTGGAAAACCAGTGATGATTTAAAAAAAATCTTAAAAGCAGCTAGAGAGAAAAGATACATTATGTTCAGAGGAACAAAGAATAATGAAAAAGTTATTCTCATCAGAAACTGTGGAAGTCAGAAGACAATGGGATGGCAAGACCTTCCCTGGTCATCCTTCTAAACCACCAACCCTCCCCTCTGCCCACCATATCACACTCTTTGTGGCCTTAATCACTAACTTACTGTGGTCTCTCTCTTCACTAGACGGTAAGCTCCAAGAGGGCAGGATAGTAAAACATCATTTGTCTCATTCACTGCTTTATCCCCAGTGCCTAGAACAATACCTAGTTATTTAATAGGTGCTCAATAAATACTTCATCAATAAAGTCTCCTTCCAGACAGAAGAGTATCAAGGCAGAAAGCAGTAGAGAGTCCTCAAATTACTAATAGTTCAGCACAATTACACCCCAAGATGTGCGGGGGGAGGGGGAGGGGGAGGAAATAAAGCTGGAATATGAGAGCAATGGCAAGTCTAGAGGAATTTGTAGGATATGCCGTGGAACTGGGGCTTCATTCTGCAGGCAGGGATCTTAGGCAGAGGAATGCTAATACTCTACATTTTAGAAAAATTTTCCTGGGAATCCCTTGTGCCAGATGATCTAAAGAGGTGAGTTGGAGAGAAGGAAATAAATGGGGAGGCTATTAAATTAGTCCAGGTGAAAGCTGGTGCAGACCAAATGGAGGCCAGGAGCAGTGAGGATGGGTCAGCTCCAGAAAGTTCTTTAGGAGGTAGGATGTACAGGAGATACATTGAGCAGGAGTTGGTGAACAGCTAGATATGAAAGATGAAGGAGAGAGTTCTGACTTGTGTAATTGGGTAGATAAGGAGTACAGGAGGCAGAGTCAATTTTAGGGAAAGGATCATATTATTAATGTTATTAATCATATTAATCATATTAATGATCTATGGCTACATAGTAAATTTCCCCAAAACTTAGCAGCTTGAACTTACAAACATTTATTATCTCTCAGTTTGTGTGGATCAGGAACCTAGGCTTAGGGGACTCCCTCTTGTTTAGTGTCTCAAAAGGCTGCAGTGAACGTGATGGCCAGGCCTGTAGTCACCTCAAGGCCTGACTGGAGAAGGAGCCTGGGGGTAGGCCTCAGGTCCCCCTAGCTGTTGGCTGGAGACATTGGTTCCTTGTCACCTGGACCTCCAGAGGGCTGTTCCCAACACAGCAGCTGGCTTCCCTCAGAGTGTGTGAGCAAGAGAGTAGGAGAAGGCATCCCAAGATGGAAGCCACAGTCTTTTTATAATCAAATATTGGAAGTGACAGCCCATCATTTCTGCCCTATGCTGTTTTTAGAAACAAGTCACTAGGTGCAGTTCACACATAAGGGGAGGGGATTATACAAGGGCATGATTACCAGGAAGTGGGGATCACTGAGACCATTTTAGAGGCTAGTGAGTTTGGATAGTGATAGTGAGTTTGGATATGCTAAATTGGAGACCCAACCTCCTAGTTGCATTTACTACAGATGCAGATGGATGTGTAGTTCTAGGGCTCAAGAGACAATCTCCTCTCATTGGAAGGTAGCTTGGAGGCTTGGCGTGAGTTTACAAGTAATGTCCCAGGACCCTTTTTTTCCCAGCTTGTTTTGGAAGCTTCTAGAAGGGCTGAAGGACAGATAACTTGGAATCCCCAGAGTTCCTCGGGAATAGGAAGTGTACAACCCGTAATTGCTGACTCCAGTACTCATAGGGGGCAGTGATTGAAACGTGATTGAAAAGCACTCGCTTTCTCTCTCTCTCTCTCCCCTTTTGACAATTCCTGCTCTGCCATCAAACCAGAGAGAGGTTTTCCCCTTTCTAAACTGCAGGTTTATGATCTGCATAAAGGGACTGTTAGACTAGATCAATAGTTTTTCAAAAAAATATAAGGCTTTTTTCTCTGGGGTCCCCAGTATATGAAATAGGTAAACATTAATTTGATCTGGCCTCCCCAGTGCTTCCCCAGAAAAGAGCCCCATTTTGAAAAACACTGGACCAAATAAAGTCCTGATTTTTTTGCCAACTCTAACATGCCCGAGTTTCATGACAAGATCAACTCTAAGCTCCTCTCAGGTCTGTTATTCTGCTTGTTGAGATCTCCTGAGGCAACACATTTCATTGAGCTTTTGAAAAGAAACCAAATGGTATTTCCTTGAACTTGTGAAAAAAATATAATAAAGCTGACCTTCTTTAAGTGCTTACTGTGTTTCAGGCACGGTGCAAAATATTTTACATACCATTATCTTTATTTGGTCCTGTCCCCCCCACTACTAGAACGAAAACTCCATAAGTGGAGGGAACTTGTCTAGTCCATTGCTTGATTTCTAGAAGCTAGACTAGTTCCTGGGATATAGGAAAGCATTCAGTAAATATTTTTTGCATGAATGAATTACGGTAAGTACTATTTTTATTCCCATTTTACAGATGGGGAAACAGGCTCAGAGCTGCCAAGTAACTTGCCTATAGTTACACAAGTTAAAGGCAGAACTAGGATTTGAAATGAACCCCTCTAGCCACGTCCTGCCATTTCTCGGTGGTGGGATCCGTAGGAAACTGCAAAGGCAACTAGCATATATGGGGTACCTCCTATAAGGCAAGGTACTTTTTGCTTCCATTAGCAGCTAACCCTGCAAATCAGCTATCGTGACTCCCATTTTTCAGATGGGGGATGTGAAGTTTGGCAAGGCTAAGTACCACCCCTAGAGTGAGAGACAGAGGTAGGATTGGAGCCCAGTCTTTCTGACTCCACAGCATTTCCGTACAAGATCCTATATATTCAGCTACCTGCACCAAAGCATAGGTTCTGGAAAATACCACACCATTGGTGGGTGTAGGTCAATATGGCCGGTGAGGTTTTGCCTTCTCTGGCTTTTTCTGTAGCTTTATTTTCATGAAACCACTGTGCATTGAATTGAGAGTGTCCACCAGGCTGAGAAAGAGTGAGTCGGAGCTTCTGAGTTGGAGGAAAAAGCAGTTGATGACTAAGGATGACAAACCTGGGCCCCATAGCCCGCTGCTCTCTGTAGCCTCGTCAACACCACTTGCCTCAGCCCAGGTCTGAAGTTAGACTGATGATGTCACCAGGGTCTCTTAAAGGGCTCATCACTCACAGCCACTTGTCATTTATTATTCAGCGGATCTTTAATGCATGTAACATTTTCTACCAAATTTCCATTCCTTTCTTCTCATGACTGGGGAAAGAAAAATAGAGTCAGGATGACTTTTTCCAACTCCTCGTCCTTATGGCCTTTCCCTGAAGAATAACCTCATTTTGAATTACCCCCGAAAATGGTCATTCAGGCTTTGGTTTCGTTAATAAGGATGAAGCTACAGTTTCATAATTACGATCTAACGAATGCATGTTCTATGGAGACAAGTAAATGAATTTCCCCTCATCTTTTCTTCCGGACTCCACAGAGGAGGGAACACCAGCTGTCCCTTTTTCTTTTTCTCTCCTTTATTCTTTGGGAAACTTTGGGACTGTGTCAATTCTGTTAGAAGCTTTCTACCTTCTCATCTACAGAGTTAATGAGAGCCCTCCCGAGAATCTGACGTCCTCATGGCTCGAGTGTGGATCTCATTAGAACGTGGGATCTCGAGGATCAGGAGGAGTCATGTAGGGGAAGGGTTGTTCCAGGCAGAGGGAATGAGAGGCTCAGGGTGGCTCACCCCATCCTAGGGCTTGTGAGGAACTGAAAGAAGCCAGAAGACAGCCCGCCCTGAAGCAGCACGCCAGAAGGAAGGGCAGGCGTCAAGCACAGATGGTGTTGGAGTTAGCCTGGGGTGTGGGCGCAGTGACACAGCGCTCCCCGCTCAGAAGGGCTCTGTGCCTGGTTTAAGGCTCTGTGGTCACCATCGTGCAATTGTCAGTACTTTTGGAACAAGGGGTCCCTTATTTTCGTCTTGCGCTGGATCTTGTAAATGGTGAGGGGTCAGTCTTTAGGGAAATCCTTTGGACTTTCTGAGAATCAGTTTCTGCTTTTATAAAATGGAGAGCAGGATCCCTCCCTCAAATACACTGTCATGAGGATTAAGTGAGATTATGGTATAAGATTACATAATTGGTGCATTGTATAGTAAACAGTGCCTAATAAATATTCCCTTCTCCTTAGCTGAGAGGGTCTATCAGAATCACCTGGGCAGGTGGGGAGTTGTTTTTCCAAGTTCATTTGCCTGGGTTCCACTCTGATGGCTTCTGACTCCCACGTGTGGGTTGGGGGAGGTGTGTGCTTAGGGCCCTTCAGGGATACTGAGGTACAGCTGAGCTTAAGAAAAGTAGTCTTGGGTTTTCTGAGATCTAGCTGAGAAGCAACTTAATAGAGGAGAACAGATGGAGAGGGAGAAATTGATGGACCACTACTGATCCTTAACATAATAAAAAACCTGTTAAGGAAGAAAGAGGTCACTGAGAATGCTGAAATGCATTATGAGAATTTGTCCCATTATCAAGATTCCTGTAAAATGTTCTGCTGTCTATGTGGCCTGACAAATCCACCCAGAGGAAGAGAGGCCGTGGTCAAGAGAAGCCAGGGTCCAGGCCCAGGGTGGGGGCAAGGTTCGAATTTACCGTCCTCTTAATGACCCTACTGCCACACTCGGTTCTTGAAAAGCAATTGTAGCTGGAGGGAGTAATCCTGAATTATGTTTATCCGGCCCAGATTCTAGGCTTTGACATTCTTCTGATGAAAAACCTGAAACCTATCCTACTTGAAGTAAACGCGAACCCCAGTATGAGAATCGAACACGAGCAAGAAGTAAGTACTGGGACTGTCTCCTTGAATATGTTGCCTGACCGCCGCTGGTGCTTGCTCAGCTCAGCGAGACTCAACATCCTCAGCCTGGCCCAACAAACTTCTGCCCAAGTCTGAATAATTTCAGCTTGGTGGAGCTCTGAGCAGCATCTATAAATATAAGACCTTTCCGACCCATGGTAACTTCCCAGCATGCCGTTCTTTGCGTTTTTAAGGTCTGCAGACACAGAAGCAGCTGAGCCTTTCCATCAGTTTTGACATGAACTAATTAGTTAGCCTCAGGAGATGAGCTAATTGAAATTCTATGAATATGATTTAGCCATGTCGACATACTCGAGTCACTAAGATAAATAGTACAATTTAACAGTGGTTTTATTTTTCCTCCCCCCGCCTTAAAAAAAAGCATAAAAAAGACTGGAAGGAAATACACCCAATACTAATATTGGGTTTTGGGGGGGCCCCTATGGGCTCTTTTAATTTCCTTAGCCCCGTCTATATTTCCAAGTTTTCTACACCGAGCATGGATGATTTTGATGGCTAGATAAACCTAGTGCTCTTTATGTATGTTTTCCCCTTTATGTCTTTTGTGGATTTGTTAAAGGAAATGGCCATTGTAAAAGTAGCATGAAGGGAGCCTTTTAAAAATTCTCCTCTATAGACTGATATGAGCAAAACCTAACTAACAGAACAGCCAGTAGGGCTGGTGAGGATAGTCACTTGGTACCAAGTCACTCCCTCCACCGTAACACGGAATCCTTACCCATTCAAGCTTTCTCCAGGGGTGTTCGAAAATGTCCCCAGCCTTGTGGACGAGGAAGTGAAGGTGGCTGTGATCAGAGACACGCTACGCCTCATGGACCCACTTAAGAACAAAAGAGAGAACCAGTAAGTATTTTTTTATATCATTCATTTCTATCAACTCTGCTCCGTGTCCTAGCCACTCGGTTCTTGGAACATTGTAGTGTGGTGAGATGTACATATTAAACCATCTAACCCATCATATTTTCATTTATGGTTATCAGCCTACAAATACAGTGACTTAAAATCAGGAGGTGGAGACTTGTATATGAATCCGACATTTGGGATTCAGCTGATGAATTTTTAGCTGATTGTTATTTGAATCTAGAGATTCTCTTCCACAAACCCCCTTCCCCCGCCCCCTGAGATGGGATCCCCTCTTGCCCACCATTGTTCAGAGTGCTTCTCTTGGAAATGCTCAAGCCTAGGGAGAGACCACAGGTCACTTGAACGTGATAAAGATCATTTTCTTTTTACCTTCTTTGTGACGTTTACACTCTGGCATTATAAGCTTTATGTTTTAACATTCATAGAGCCACTTTAAGGAAGTTCTGAAGTTCTATCATCTTTATGGCAATTATAATTACCCTCCATTCCACCCACCCCAGGGTGCATAACCAAGGTGGGGATGCTGGTGGGAGTACATGCCCCGCTCCTTCCTCTAGGGATCACCCCTGAAATGAATGGCATCTCATTTGGGTATTTTTTTTTTTTTGTTATGTTTTTGCCAAGTTCCTGGCTCTCACAAAGTATGGGTTGAGTAAATATCGTTACGCTTGTTTGAGGCAGAAAAATCAAAGACAGGCATTTCAAATAGCATTCTTTATCCCCCACCTCCCCCTACCCCCGGCAAATCAGATTGACCTAAACGCTCACAAATGCAGCCCTTGTCAGCTACAGTTCGAGACTGCAAGGAACACTGGCTTCCCCTTTCTAAGCCAGGTGTGTCCTGCAGGTCCCCGCACCGCAGCGCCTCACCAACTGGGCTCACGCCGAGATACCGTTAGAATATTCTGCAATGGAGCTTCTCCCTTGGCTGCGCATTAGAACCATCTGGAGAGCTTTCATAAACACCAGTGTGAGGGCCCCCGCTTCTAGAGACACTGGTTTTAATAAGCCTGAACTGGAGGCCTGGCCGCATAAGTCTTCTGGGTCCCCTAGGGGATCCTCCCAAGAGGCCGAGGTGGAGTGCCGCTGCCCCGCCGGAAATGTCACACTGGAGGAGTGTTTATCTTAATGCTGAGTCGGGCTCGATGGTGCCAGCTTGGCTGAGTGCCCCTCCCGAGTGTTCTCCACCGCAGAGTGCCACTGTTGGTGAGACTTGTCTGAGAAGGTTCACCTGCCGTCCACAGGGCCTGTCCTGCAAGGCGCAGGTCCCACCAATTAGAGCTGCAAAGTGGTGTCCTGTTGGGTCCCATGCACGCCCAGCGTGGCTCCCACAGCATAGCGGCCGGGAGCGTGACCAGGTTGGCAGTTTGGTGAGATTCATTGCAATAAACCTCATTCCTTGAAAATAGACTCTTCAAGGGTTATTGATCTCCCTGATGAAGATGAGGTCTCGAGAGACTGTAGGGCACTCTGGGGAGGTTCAGGGGGCTGCCCCATGTCAGTGTGGCACATTAGAGCAACTCCTTAAAGATGACCTTGACACACGAGCGCTCTGATTTTGTTGATGGCAACAAATTCGAAGGCCATTGTGTGGCCGCCAAAGATAGGAAGGGATATAAGAGAATCACTGTATTTTCACATTAAACGGTATCAAAACACAATTAGCTTTCTTTTCCTTGGTTTAGTGGTTTTGCTTTTCCTGCACCTGGCATTCTGGATCATCTTTGAGAGCTGTAGATCGAAAATTGAGTAGCGATGGGGCACAGGACCAGGATGAGAAAGCCATTCACAACTTATCAATCATAAGTAGCAGAACCTGGTTTTAAATGAAGGAGTATTGCCTTTTTTTTTAAACTGATAACCAGGAACAGTTAAAACCTTTAGAACCTGACCTTGATTCTAATACAAAACCCTTCTATCTCCCTCTATTCTTACCTGTTAACATAACAGTGCATATTAATAGCCAAATGTCATTTACCAGTAATTTCCCTAAATTTCACCTTAAAAAAAAAAACCCAACAATGATTCTCTATGAAAGCACTTTGTAATCTGTAAAGTGCATTTATGTAAAGAATAATTATTACCATTTTGGTAATTTTATCATGCAGATAAAAAGGCTGAAATTATTCTCAACTCCTCTGTGTAGAAATGTATCAGAATAACTTGAAGGAGCACCGTATTTATGCCCACAGAAAGTGCCCAGGGTAGTAGTACTGAATCCTAAGTGTCCAAAGCTGAAACCATGTGGTTCGGCTGCAGGAAACGTCGTCACAGAGACTTCTGGGCTGGGAGGCAGCTTTAGAAACCAGAGTGTCTTGTGTTTATTTATTTATTTTTTAAGATTTTATTTATTTATTTGACAGACAGAGATTACAAGTAGGCAGAGAGGCAGTCAGAGAGAGGAGGAAACAGGCTCCCTGCTGAGCAGAGAGCCCGAAGTGGGGCTCGATCCCAGGACCCTGGGATCATGACCTGAGCCAAAGGCAGAGGCTTTAACCCACTGAGCCACCCAGGTGCCCCGTGTCTTGTGTTTAAATAGGATCTGACCTAACCCTTTAAAAACAATAGATGACCCTTGTCTTTTGCTACACGTCTTTAGCCAAAGAGGGTCTAAAGTGTCCCTCCCTAGTTCCTTCTTGAGTACCTGTGAGGTGGGTCCTCACTCACTCCATACAGATTGAAGAAGACAAACAGTAGATAAGTGTCCTGACCTCTTCATGCCTCTGAATGTCCTCGGGAAGTTGCAGAGGGGGCTCGTGTCCATGCCTGGGCCTCTTCACACTCCTCGGGGACTTACAGGCTGGGGTCAGTTTCCTGGTGGGACTGAAAGCTGTCCCCATGCCTTCCCCAGGAATGGGAACCTGTGACTGCTGGTACTCATCTTGGCATAGCAGGAGGCTCTCTCTTGAGCTCAAAGACACCAGATTCAAGTTCTGACCTTGGGGATGTGGTGGAGCTGGGTGAGCCTTGGTGTCCTTTTCTATGAAATGACATTTAATTGAAACAGGAAGCCTGTTGGTAAATAGTAGCTACTTAAATGCTTAGCTCACTACTCAACAATAAAATTCTCTACTAGAGTATGAGAAAACAAAAACAAAGCTTAGCTATCATTATATTTTCTGGTATACTTAAAGTAGAATTTTGAGTTGAAAACCAGCGACGTATCCTAAAACTGAGGCTGCTGGATCACTGTGGACTAGAAATGACATGGGAGCTGGTTGCCAATGGAACATTCTGTTTCCAAGGAGCAAGATGTCACTGTTCCAGGCATATTTCTTTGTCGGATTGGGAGAAAATACATTTGGCCCCTGAAGGAATAAAATAGCTACCATATGAGAGCTCTTTTGAACTAAGATAACGTTTTATAATATCTAGAGACTCTGATTTACATCGTAGGGTTCTTCGGAGGCACTGAAGGGACAGGGGAAAGGGGAGGCTCATGGGGTGGGCCTCTGGAAATGTCGTGTATCTGTACACACACATATATGGTGGTAACATTCACATAGTATAAAATTAGGTATTTAAATTCCATAGCATTTAGTATATTCACAGAGTTATGCAATAAGCACCCCTACCTAGTTCCGAAATGTTTTGTCACCCCAAAATGAAACCCTGTACCCATGAAATAGCCAGTCCTCATTTCCACCTCTACCAAGCTACTCTCTGCCTCTGGCTATATTTATGCTAAATACTTCATATAAGTAGAATCATACAGCATGCAATATTTGTGTCTGCTTTCACTTAGTGTGTTTTTTTTTAAGATTTTATTTGTTTATTTGACAGACAGAGATTACAAGTAAGCAGAGAGGCAGGCAGAGAGAGAGGAGGAAGCAGGCTGTCCTCGGAGCAGAGAGCCCAATGTGGGGCTCGACCCCAGGACCCTGGGATCATGATCCCAGCCGAAGGCAGAGGCTTTAACCCACTGAGCCACCCAGGCGCCCCATCACTTAGTGTGTTTTTGAAGTTCACCCATGCTGAAACACATATTGGTGCTTTATTCTTTTTTCTGACCAAATAATATTCCATTATAGGGATATACCATATTTTATTATCCATCTGTCACTCCATAGACATTTGGGTGGAAGCAATGAACTCTTTTATATTTCAGCATTCTGTAGGTTTCATTTGAGAACAAAGACTCTTTCCTGCTACAAGAAATTTTTAAAATTCCCAGTTTAGTTCAACCCCCTCATTTTATTGGGAGAAGTACAGATGGTGAGAATCGGAAGGGATCTTAGAGACCATTATGCCGTTGGGCGCCTGGGTGGCTCAGTGGGTTAAGCCTCTGCCTTCGGGTCAGGTCATGATCTCAGGGTCCTGGGATCGAGCCCCGCATCAGGCTCTCTGCTCAGCGGGGAGCTTGCTTCCTCCTCTCTCTCTGCCTGCCTCTCTGCCTACTTGTGATCTCTGTCTGTCAAATAAATAAAAAAATAAATCTTAAAAAAAAAAAAGAAGGAAAAGAAACCATCATGCCAGTCAGCTCCCTGGCCAAGACTCTCCCTCCTAAAGGTCCCTGCAGAGGAGAAGCAAGTGTCCATGTGGGGCACAGGTATGGCATCAGTCTGGCCTGGGGGAAGGTTTTCAACCTCTGATCACTGTACTATGAGCTTGGCCAAGACACCCTGCTTTCTGATCTGGTCTCTGACATGGGGATCGAGCTATGTCCTAGGCTGGATTGTTATGGTCAGCACATGAAGTGGCACCTAGGGGAGAGCCTCATGATGTCTGAAGACATTAGACAAATGCCAGTTCTTAGGGCCACCAGGTGGCCAGTCAGGCTTTGAAGTTCTGTTCATGGTGACAGGCATTGCCCAGCGACCGAGGCAGCCCATCTGAGTCATGTACATGACGGTTCCGCACACGGGATCATGCAAGACAAAACCTAGACGACACAGTCACAGAGCTAGTTGGAGGCAGCGTGGGGACCGGATTCTGGGTTCCTGACTTTGACACCAGCGTCCACTTCGCGTTGCCCCATT